ACAAAAAGGAAAACCTAAGAATATAGTGTTGTGCTTTTAACATCAGTACTAACCTCTAATAACTTTAAATTTCTTCATGTTGACTTGGGTTTGTTTGTGCTTCAGGTGTGCGACAGGTGAGGCGTGGCAGGAGATCATGCTGGCATGTTCACCCAATCGGCCGTGTGAGAAGGGCTCCACCAATGAAAACAGCACAGCCAGCGAGGACTGCGGCAGCCAGTTTGCCATCATTTACTTTGTCAGCTTCTACATGCTTTGTGCCTTCCTGGTGAGTACAGACGATCCAACAAGGACATGTGAAAGAAAGAAYATAGAAAATCTCCATCATTTTAACGGTTCTAAATCGCAATGTCAGTTTTAAAACAAGGYAACTGACCAATTGTTTGCATTTTGTCAGATCATCAACTTATTTGTGGCTGTCATCATGGACAATTTTGACTACCTGACGCGTGATTGGTCCATTCTGGGGCCGCACCACCTTGACGAGTTTAAGCGAATCTGGGCGGAGTATGACCCAGAAGCTAAGTACGTTWACAGAGAGTAGGCTGAAACTGAACATCAGAGTGATGTTTCTGCATATAAACAGGTTTTACAGTGAGAGACCTCCATGTTGTTTTCAGGGGGAGGATAAAACACCTGGATGTGGTCACTCTGCTCCGGAGAATCCAACCTCCTCTTGGCTTCGGAAAGCTCTGTCCACACAGGGTGGCTTGCAAGGTAAAAACAACACTAAAAGATTATTTAAGAACTCAGAACTGTGAGCTGATGTTTGTGTGTTTKATCTCATGTAGCGGCTGGTGTCGATGAACATGCCTCTGAACAGCGATGGAACCGTGATGTTTAACGCYACACTGTTTGCTCTGGTCAGAACAGCACTCAGGATCAAAACAGAGGGTAAGAAACAAACTAAATATTGTGTACATATAGACATACACATATACAACGTAACTTTTTTCAGATGTTTGCTGCATGCTTAAACATCTACCAATGATGCATCTTTAAACTAGTTTATTTTTTAAGGCAAACATGAAAAATATGGTTCTTTTTTTTTTACAAATAAATGTGTCAACCTCTTTAAAATCTGCAGTATGTGTGTTACCTRTGCAGGTAATCTGGAGCAGGCAAATGAAGAACTGAGGGCAATTGTGAAAAAGATCTGGAAAAGAACCAGCATGAAGCTTTTGGATCAAGTAGTGCCCCCTGCTGGCGGTATGTATAGTTTAAAACATATTTATGAAAAGAAATAAATAATGTAGTATGATGCATTACTTTTAATAGTTTTTTTTTCAGCTGTTAGAATTTGAAATTCTAAATTTGTTTTTGTTTTCAAGATGATGAGGTGACAGTCGGAAAGTTTTACGCCACCTTCCTCATCCAGGAATATTTCCGCAAGTTTAAGAAGAGGAAAGAACAGGGACTGGTGGCCAAGGTGCCCCCCAAAACTGCCCTCTCTCTGCAGGTAAACACTGACGGTTTGTGTGCAACTGACTAATGTTCAAAGTGATTTATTAGACATACCTAGTAGAGGTTTTTTCAATGAACGAAGACAAAAATAAGCAATGTTTGATGGTTCTGTGCGTAGGCGGGCCTGCGGACATTGCACGACATCGGTCCAGAGATCAGGAGGGCGATCTCTGGAGACCTGAACGTGGAGGAGGAGCTGGACAAAGGCTTGAAAGAGCCTGTGTCTGCAGCATCCGAGGACGATATCTTCAGGGTAAAGGTTGGATACACACAYCCCCACTCACTCTCCACAGAGAGAAAGAGAGATCGGCACCAGCTTGAAGCTTCATACACATTCATGTACATGCTTGCATGTGCTTTAAGTGCTGAATACTTTTAAGGGGGCATATATGAAATTGGCCTCTGTCTCTTTAAGAACCCCCCTACCATTTCAGACAATCCCACTTCAGTACTTTTTCAAACAGTGCTTCGGGGGAGGGGTGCTCTGTGGGGAGGGAGCTCGCCTACAGACTGATCTTCAGGRAGGAGCTTTGTGCAAATATGTGGAGCTTAGTACCAGCATGTGTTTAARGAGCYCCACATGGCTACAGGAGTTTCAAGGCTTTCTCAAACGTGCATGAATGAGTCAAAGCAACACTCTGGATATGTTTTTGATGAGGGACATTATAATATGATATAAAGCTGAAAAAGGTTTTGCATATAACCCCCATCCCACCTTTTAAGAATAAAAGTTGCTTGCCCCACTATACACAACACCCAGATCTGAAAAAAATGGGACAGTGTAAAATGCAATAAATAAATAAATAAATAAATAAATAAATAAATAAAAACACAATGGATCTTAAATCTCATAGTCTTTTTTTTTTTTTACTCACAACTGATTCAACATATCTACTGTTAAAGCCAAGAAATTGTGCCATTATTATGGAGGACAAAATAGCAATTTTGAGATTTCAGAATGCAAAATGTCAAAAAAATAAAAAATTCGGGACAGTAGTGCCATATTTGTCAGATTTGTTGATAATTGAATATTTAAAGTTGTCACAAATTTTTTTATTGAACTATATTTTGAAATTGTTGTACTGTTAAAATCTCTGACCATCTTTACTTACAGTATGAGATTCAGCCTTTCTAAAATATTTTACTTATCTGGTAACTTTACCATACCACTTACTTTTATCGTTTTAAATAAACTGTTTATTTTGTTTACCACACCATATTATGATGTGGTAAACTCCTAAATATTCAAGTCTGAGAATTCAGTCGATCTACTGCACATAATCTGGTTTCTCATTTGAACATGAGCTTTCAATACAATTTCTTAGTTTAAACATTTGATATGTTTACAATATTTTATTATGACTTAAATGTGACTATGAGATTTACAAGTTATTGCATTCTGTTTTTCTTTACATTTTACGCAGCACCTAACCTTTTTTACAGATTTGGGGGTGTTGCTTGGCCACATTTAACTGCACATATTCAGCTACTGTTTTACAGTACAACTGGGATTTGGGCGAATAAATAAAACTCAGCCGTATTAAAAAACTGAGACAAAAACTGCAAGTTTAAAACACATTACCCCAATCACAGCCTTTTATCTACACGTGGAGGTGAGTTTGGCCTTCCATTTTCACCATCATTGCTCTGTTCATATTCTCTGTTTTAGATGCTGCAGTATTTTTCACAGTGTTGCAGTGAACTTAATGCAAACAAAGTGAAATATTAATGCATTTATTTACCAGCTGTAAATGAATATCCCTTTATATGTTTCACTTTTAATTATTTAGTGCCATTATTTTCCTGCTTTGCTTGGTTAGTGACTGTAGATCKTTGCTTTGCATTTTTGTAGTTGGATAACGTTTTATTGGTCAATATAAGAAACTTTAACTAGACTTGATGTGTTTCTCATCGTGCAGCGTTCTGGTGGCCTGTTCGGCAACCACGTCAACTACTACAACCAGAGTGACGGCCGAGGGTCCTTCCCGCAGTCCTTCACCACCCAGCGTCCCTTGCACATCAGTCAAAAGGGCTCCCCGTGCAAAGGAGAAAGCCCGTCTCATGAGAAACTGATGGACTCCACCACCTTCACCCCTTCCTCTTACTCCTCATCGGGCTCCAACGCCAACATCAACAACGCCAACAACACCGGCGTAACGAGCGTGACAACCCAAGGGGTCAGTCGATTCCCGAGCCCGTCTATAAGCACTGTGGACGGCCACAGCGGGCAACCCCTCACCCCCATCCTGCTGCCCAAATCTGCATGGTGCTTCCCTCCAAAGAGGTGAGTGTCGGACAACCTGGCAAAACATCAGCCTCCCGACAAGTCTTTATCTTTATTACAACGCCTTTGAAATTTCTCTTTTGAAATTTGAGCACCAATAACTGACAAACACTTCCTTGTGGACATAAATATCCTCCCTATTCCCTTCCATTTTTTTATTACCTGCTTTTTTTTCTCCTTGTTTCCTGTTTCTYGTGGCAAACAGGATGTTTTATGACACCCTCATGCGGTATGTTACCAGGGCACAGAGACGGAGAATGCGTGTGTGTTTTGTTAGTTCACAAGTTGTGCACAAACAGATCTCATGATGCTATACAGAATGCCATAGCGGTCAAGGTGCAACGGTACTTGCTGCTATGCCCATAATGCTTGAGATGCTACAGCAAATGTCAGGCTTCATGCTGCAATTATGAACTAAAAGGGCACAGATTGTTTGATGCATTTTGTCCATACTTTTCCTCCAATCATGGGCTTCTGCTGCTCTTTAACTACAGATTACAGCAGGTCTGGGTAAGACACAATATCATCTGCAGAAATCTGTGCARACATCTGAAAACTCAGAGGAGAAAATCTCAGGATGTTTGCTGTATTTTAGAAAGTATGGTAAAAGAAATCTGTAGCACTTTAATTGTTCTTGTGGTAGTGTTGCTTTGTGTTCCACAAGCATCTGACTGGAAAGCAGAATTTAAGTCCCACCCCAGAATCTGAAGTTTGTCTGATTACAAAACATAATAAAAATTTAATTGGWTCAGTTGTGCATTTTTAAAATACGTTTAGTTTCAATTTGTTTTTTGAGCTTTTGAAATGTCGTGTGATTCACAACATGACGAGCTGTCAGCGAGTTGTACATGATGGAGCCCCACCTCCATCATGTACACACTCTTGGTTTTAAAAACTGTACACACACACACACATACACACACACACACATACACACACACAC